ATTAGTAAAAAAGTATGATGTGATAGGTAGGGTATGAAAAAAATAAGGGTAAAAGTGATTTTTTAATAGAAAGTGGAAGTGTTTAAGTAAATTAGAAAAAAACGAAAGAGGATGGGTTTGTGGAATGAAGTTCACTTGTTACATCATTAATAACATTAAAGAAGTGGCTAAACAAGTACAGAAGGATCGAGATCAAAAACATATTCTCTGAACAAAATTTTGCGGGTAACCACATGGCTAGTATTACGGGAGCCTTTCAGCATGCCGCTGATTGGATTGAACATGAAGATCCCCGACTTGAGATGGAGGACATCATTAGTCATTACAAAGGACATGATAGGTGCTACCAGATTTCGTAGGGTGATTTCTCTTAGCTTGAGAAGATGAGTTAGTCCGGAGTTTCCGCCGTCCCCGACCATTTGATTAAAAAAAAGAGGAATTTACCTAAATAATACTCAAACATATTTACTTTTTCTAAATAGCAACATATGGTTTTATTTTCTAATGTAACACTTTTAGTCATTACTCACTAGTCATTATTCAAGTAAATATTCACCATCACTGGATATTATTCTCCCTCCTAGATACTACCTCCGTCCCGTGAAACATGGGACATTTGCTTTTTAGGAGGGATTTAAGGGAGTGTATTTTGGTATTGAATTTCCAAAAATGTCCTTTGATGTGATGTGTAAAAGTATGATTTGATGGATAGATTATTAGTAAAAAGGTATGATGTGATAGTTAGGGTATGAAAAAGTAAGGGGTAAAAGTGACTTTTTAATAGAAATGAGAAGTGTTTTGTGGGACGGATAAAAAAAGAAAGGGGAAATGTTTCACGGGACGGAGGTAGTATTATTTATAGAGAGTAAATAAGTTTAAAGCTACATTGGAAAATGATTTATGTTTTAATGCTATTTAGTGCAAATATTTCTAAAAAAATTAGTTTTGGATCAAACCCGACCCACCATTTATAGGTTTAGGTAGAAGTAGTTAATAACAACGCGTGATTATGAAAAAAAGAGTGAAATTTGAAAAATAATTAAGGAGTAGAAAAACAAAGAAAAAAATCAAATGATATCAAGTTTAATTTAATTTGCTAGCTGGCCTGGGTATATGTAGTAGGGACCCTAGCTAATATATATAGCCAATTAATTAAGGGTGAGCCCTTTAATTTGAAATTTAATTTAGAACATATAATTGAAGGGAAGGTTTGATTATAGAGTAATTTACCTAAATAGGACTAAAACATAATGACTTTCCTAAAATAGGACCATATGTTATTATTTCCGAATGTAGGACCTTTGGTCATTATTCTATAGTCATTATTCAAGTAATGTCTATCATTGCTGGGCATTATTCCTTCCACGAAGACATTATTAAGTCTTATTTAAGAAATAAAAAAGTTTAAGTCCTAGATTCGGAAAGTCATTATGTTTTAGTCCTATTTAGTGCAAATTTCACTTGATTATATTCATTTGTCATGCATGCATGCACGTACTATAATTAGTGAGATCCGGTCGGCCGGCACATCGCCTTTGTCGTAATTTCTGCTGTCGTCCAATAAAACACGATCCGGCGACAATGGATTATTAATGTACAACCAAACCAAACCAAACCCACGGATCCAATGAAAACCCGAACCCTACAATAATCCCTTCGGTCAACCCAACACCCTCTATCTCTTCTTGTCTCTACTCTCGTTGAAGGTTTTTTATAGCCAATTGTTTAGAAAAATAATTGGCATATTAGCTCTATTGTTGAGTCGAACTAAGTAATCGATTGAATTCAATTTTTTTTAATGTGAGTCAGTTCAAATATACTATAGGCCTCATTTGGCATCAAAGTTCGAGGTGGTTAGCGTTTACATTTTGAAAAGACTATGAGCCTGTTTGGAGATAGTGTTAGAGATTAACGTTAGTATTTTGGATAAAAATTTAACGGTGTGATACGGTATCGTATCGGGATAGGGAAGAATTTTGAGCACCTTCGAGCTCCAAGAACAAAAGAGGTGAGAAAGAGAGAGATTAAGGTTTAGTAGAAAGTATTTTCTTTATTCATTCATTGATAATACTATGGTGATGGATACATTTATAGGCTCCAACTCTAGAGAATTTCAATAATAAATGGTAACTAAATAAATTAAGAATCCTAATTATAAAGGTAACTAAATAAACTAGAAAACTAAATAATCACCTAACAAATATATTATTCCCTAACAATAAATAACTAACTATAAATTATTCCTTACCATAATAATAATAATAATAATAATAATAATAAGTCCCGTAACACGGTGCAAATTACTTTGAAAATGCTTAAGGGGTTTGAACGGCTTTATTTTCAATTCAAGTTATTTGATTGTAGGCGTGCGATTAAAAAATAAAATTTACATATTTAAAAATTACATCAAAAGTTCTACAAAACAAGAGATGACAAGACTATATTATTTTATCAAATACCTTACAAAAACAGATAAAGAAAGTAATTAAAGTTTCACGTTATGAATAATACTGTAACTGGGAAGAACATTTTTGGATAGAGAGGACAACTTTTACTTTTTATTTCTATGCGAATTTGTTAATAAAATTATTTAAAGAAAGATGATGTTACATGTAAAAACAAAGTAGGAAATGTTTTTTAAAAGGGAGGGAGTAGAATACAAACATTTAAGCGATGAAGAGCACTAATACTACTAGATAGTACTCACTATATATATACTTCCTCCATCTTAAAAAAATATTCCCATTTTGAATTTTAAGTAATTTATGAAAGAAATATTTTTACTTCTCAAAAATATCATTTATGTGATAACTAAAAGTAGAATATGATAAGTAGATTATTAGGAAAAAAATATTACTTGTATGTGATGGGTAGGTAATTAAGATTGTCATCTAGTTCAATTATTTGGAATGCGCCAATTCAGCTCCAGTTAACAAAATTTTGTCCAGTGTAAATCTCCGAATAATGTTATGTCTTACACTTTGACCCATCAAAACACTTTCTGAGGTATTAAAGTTACATTTTGACTTGGCAAGATCACAATTTGAATATTAAAGTATCTAAAAGATCAGATTTTTGAATCCTTGGGAAAAGTGAAAAAGCTTAGGGTACAATTCAATGTATGGTCTTTGGAGCTGATCAGAAGTATAAAATTTAAAGATTTAACTCACCATTAATTGGATTAAAGAGTAGTTAAGATCAATTTACTTCAGTTCAACAAATTAGAGAGTCGATGAAAACAAAAGACTCTAATTAAGTGAGCTAGTTTTTTTAATTATCACACAAGCGATTTTTTAAAGTTTTTATGCTTCTTTCGTCCTATAAAATTTGTCTCAATGGACCATTCTTTTGTCAATTTTCTTACTTATTTTTGTTAACTATGGAGTATTTGTTAAAATAGCAGTCAATCAGTCATACTCCGTATTATTTTTGATAGAGTTTTTATACAATTATACATGCATACACACACACACACACACACACACATATATATATATATTAAAATTTTATACCAACATTTATATGAATTTAATGTAAAAAAATAATGTTTCAGACTTGGGAGCAAAAATATAAATCATACTGCTCCATTCCAAATTAGATGTAAATTATCCATTTACGAGGCAACATCTCGTATTTTTTTAAAAAATAATTATTTTATTATTGGTATATGAATTATTAATAAAATTTATATTTTAAAAATAATCAGGACGTTGAACATTTTACAAATATTCAAGAAGTGACAATAATATTTAATTTTTTCAAATAATCAATGAAAATACATAAACAAATACGAGAAAAATTGAAACAATTTCACGACGGAAGGAGTACATGAATATCAAGTTAGATGGAATACAAGTACAGATATGTAACTCGAATCCAACCTATTATCGGCCCAAATTGAAAACTAATCACGAATTCTAAATTTGGAAATATAATGAACCAAAAATGTGGTAAAATCAAGTTAAAAGTGCCATAATTGAATATAGTCATCATAGTCTCACAGACATACATGTAGGACCTTGCATTGGTTAAAAAAGAAAAGAAAAACAAAATGACAAAAAGAAAAATTCTCTATCGTTTGGTCCTTGGTTAAAAAGGAAAAAGAAAAGAAAATGAAAATGAAAGAAATTATCTTTGTTTCCATTTTGCTTTGATTGCAGTTTTTAGTTGAAATCTCCATCCATTTGAAATTTGGTCGAGGAACTCTTTCATATTCATGAATGTCGAAAACAAATACTCCTATATACAATGCTAGGTGAATTTTCCGTGAACAGTGTTCCCGCCTAAAATTATTGGGCCAGGTATAAACTATTTGGGCTGGGTTATTTTTGGGCCTGAATTCAGATCTTGGATTGGGAAAGGGTGGCGCCAGGCTGTTTTTAAATATGCTAGCTGTTACATAGGGCGGCTAGAGGAATATTGCATAGGACTGCAAAAATAATGATGAAAAAAACTTTGGGGATTGTGTGCACTCTATTTACACGGCACACACCACTTTTTAGGAGCCCAAATTACAGATTTCCATTTATTGCTTTAGATTTGATAAAATATGGTGTGTGGCTCCATAAAGCAAAGTAATGATACTTTATGGAGCATCTTGCCAAGCTTTAGATCAAATCAATTAAATAAATATATTTGTACAATCCAGGCATTTAATGTGTAGGTAATTACTTCATTCACAAGGCATATCGATATATATATACAAATATATTTTTACAATCCAAGCATTTAATGTGAAGATTTGCAATAAAGATATTACTCCCTCCGTCCCAAATTATTTGCCACATTTATATTTCCGAGGCAAAATATCAAATTTTTTCAATTTATTTTATTTTCATATTGGTAAAAAAATAAAAAATAAATTTTACATATAAAAAACTACATGAAAAGTTCTTCAAAATAAGAGGTGTGGAGAATATTTTATTTTATCAAATAATCAATGAAAATGTCGAAATAAATAAAAGTTCCCGACATTACTAAAAAAACAAATGTTGTGAATATTTAGGGACGGAGGGAGTACATGGTATTTGATTTGCAAATTTCTTGAGTCCCGTGCCTAGAACTTGCACGTGCATCGAGCCGTGTAAAAAGTGGAAGAGAGGGGTGGCAACATCAACATCAAATCAGGGTACAACCCACACATTAAATGTAATACATTAATTACAAAGTTCACAATATAAATAGACCTAAATTTAACATTTTCAATGTCCCCTATCCAGGGCATACTTCTTCAACTTCAAGGTTTACAACTTCATCTTCTCTGCATTATTAATTGTTCTTTCTCTTAAAAAGATTCTTTTTTGCTTTTTTTTTTTGCTATGTGATTGCAGATTACACATGAATCAAACTCCACAAATTCAAGCCAAGTGGGTCATGTTTAAAGACTTAAAGATACAAACAAAGGATACAAGCAATACACGTACAACTTTGACGGTAGTGCACCATAAACACTTCGTTCAATTCTAATTCAGTTTTGAAGAATTAAAGATAAAGAAATATTTTTTACTCAATATTGCTATTACATTAATGACTTTAATAAACTAGATTACTTGGTATTACCAGTTTACTTTTCAAATCTTTTTTGAAGACCTTAAAAACTATGAATGGTGCATTAGAAATTAGAATTATGATACTTTTTTTAAATAGATGAAGGGTGTGTTCTTCAAAAAAACTGTGTTATTTTTTAGTTTAAGATTCAAGGCTCAAAGCAATCCATTACATTCAGCCTTTTACTCTAAATAAATTTTATATTAGTCAACTGTCTTACAAAAGATAGTGTAAAAATTACCTTTGAAAAATAATGAAGAGTATTTTCCAAATAAGCAGTTTTGATCAATAGTCCTTGAAATAGCTATTCATAGTGCAAGTATAAATAAATTTATATAAATCCAGTGAATAATATTGAGTTGAGAAGACAAACACGGTGTCTAATGTCAGGTTTACCTTTATGATTGACACAAACATATGCGTCTCGGAGTGCACCTACAAAACGAATTAGTTTCAATTGGAAATTTCATTTACAGTTAAAAAAATTCTTTGGAGTAAAAACATATTTAGATTCACAGCCCTTATTGTCAAGATCTGGGAAAGAAAGCTCAAAAAATAGTTTCTGCTACTTTCATATTTATGTCTGTTTATATAGCATGTGTACTTATTTTAGATTTATATAAAAAAAACAGATCTAGATCTGCATGTCAAATTATACATTTTGAAATGGTTAAACAAATTTGAAGATAGATGGATGAAGTTTCTGAGGAATTTTTGTATGAACATACTGAAATCCAGAAATTTCGATAAACTAATATCAAACAAGAAAAAAACAGATCTAAGATAACCTCGGGAAAATTTAATTAGAACAAGGGGATATATAAACATACAGATACTAAACATCAAAAGAAAATCAGTATTTCGGAGTGGAAGAAATGGAACACTACGCCTACCTCCGACAGTCGTTTCCCGGTGTGCACTTTCGACAAGTTACCGGGGCAAGAAACGGATGGTCACGAGCGATGGTGTACCGGCGCAATTAACAGGCGGATTCGGCCGTCGTTTCTGTTCTTTGATGGAAAACTCTAGAGAGATAAATCTGGAGAATTTAGTTGGTCGGCCAAATTGAGAGGAAAATGAGGTTGCGGCCAAAGTGAGAGGAAAACTCTAGAGAGCCCTAAATTGAGAGAAAAATCGAAAACTCTAGAGAGAGAGAGAAAGCTACAGAATTTGGGGTATGAGAAGATTATTGAGAGGAAAATGGGTTGTCACGATAACTAGGGTAAAGAAGTGAAGCCCAAATTCAAAGGAGTCCAATAATATTTGAATAATTTACGCTATCACAAAATGTTAGTTCAATCAAAAAAATTTACACTAATATTTTTTTCATTATAAATTATTACACTAGCATTATTCTAGCATACAATATTGGTACATGCTTGCAAAGTACAAACTATGGTAAATTTGTTGGGGTACATATAGTTTATACACCCTGTATCGTGTTCTAAAAATTTACTCCTTCTATCTATTTAAATTATATGTTTGCATTTAATTATGAAACAAAATCTCACACATTTTCAAAATCAATTTTTTAAAAAAAATTGGCAAATGAATACTTAATAAAATCAATATATAACTACCTCGGTGTCTCAATATTTGTCTAATTTTAATTTTTTATAGTCAACTATATTTTGACATTTGACCTATAATTGATTAAAACTATAAAGGACTAGATAAAACAATATTTTATAAAAACATTATAAAACAAACCTAATAGTATCATATCCATATTCAATTTGACTAAATCCGCCCAATTTACGATTAATTGACAATATCGCCCAAAAAAATTGTTTGGATCTAAACTCTCTTTCGTATATTTAAGGATAAAGTTATTAATTTATCGTAAATGGAGTGTATTTAGTCAAAATGGTCGTATATTTAGCAACATCCCACTATTTTTATAACAACATTATTTTCAATTTTATTTAAGTACTGGTCAAATAGTACTTGGACGTTATATTGGAATAATTCTCCACGAAAAATAATATGTAATACATTAGTTTTTTATATTTTCATAATTAACTAAAGTTCTTAAACGTTTTTTGCGAAGTTAACATAAATTAATCACACCAAAATAATTAATCTGTTATTTACAATAAAAAATTGGTCGTGTAATGCACAGGTTCGAGCTTATGGTGTCTAAAACCATGAACTAAAGTTGAAGATTGGAACACCCATTATATTTTGAGAAAGATTGATCAATCATGAGATCTGTGCAATGGAACAAGGTTGATATAACTCAACTCGACAATCATCTTATTCAAGACACAATGATAATAGGAAAAAATGTCGGGCAAAAATGTTGGATTACTACTAAAGAAATTGGTATTCAGCCATGATCAACTCTATGTTGTAATTTCACATTTTGCAAACCGCAAGGGTTAAAGATCTTGATTTGAAATAAAGATCTTTCGTCATCCAACCAAATAACGAATGTAGTTTATAAAGAAGTGTTCCAAAAGTTAAAACACTTCATATTGACCACGGTCCTTACTGTACACTACCTTATTTTGGGCAATTTTAATAAAATTTGTAATCTTTTAAGTTTTGTATCATTTTCTGTTATTCCAAACCAAGACTAAATATAAGTAATTTTACAGCCCGTGCATCGCACGGGTACGAGTCTAGTTATTCTTCAATACATCCTCCCTTCCAAAAACATTTAAAATTACTATTCACTACTACTACATTTTCACTTGGATTATAGGCATGTTTTACATAGAATTATTTAAGAAATACATCTCATCAATTCCAAAAAATATATTACTAATTATTGTTTAGTAAATACTCCCTCCGTCCCAAAAAAGTTTGTTACGATTAGAAAAAACTGCGTCCTATAAAGTCCGTTACATTTCTATTAAAAAATCACTTTTACCCCTTACTTTTTCATACCCTACCTATCACATCATACTTTTTTCCTAATAATCTATACATCACATCCTACTTTTACCTATCACATCAAGGGTATTTTTGGAAAGTCAACACCAAAATATCCCTTCCTTAATTTTCCAAAAAGTCAATATGTATCAATCTTTTTGGGACGGAGGGAGTACTAATTTGAGAAAATACATTATTAGAAAAGATAATTTTGAGAATTTACTCCATAAATTTTCTTTACTAAAATTTCACCAAGTACATAACAAAAAAGTAATTAAGTTAAATAAAAACTCGTCATAGCATATATAGCATGTATAATTATTGTAGAAAAAAGTGGAACTCCCAAAAGGCCAAAACCTCATCAAGAATGGAAGAGCCGTGAAGGACTGTTGGGCCGCAGGTGCCTCAGCCAGGCTCTATGTTGGGAGATCTCTCCCACACTGAAAAAAGCGAATAAACCACGCATAAACTATATGGTCTATCAACTCTAATGTTCTTTTCTAAAATTATTAATAGTTCCCATATATTTCCAGTATACTTCCACATCATGTCTTGACTCCAAAATACTATAAACTTGCACTCCGCAATTTGGAGAATGAGTTGGGATCGAGACAGGTTTAGGGTTTACCGGGAGTTAAGGAGTGATAACTACTTCCACCATCCTAAAAAGATGTTTCTATTTCAACTTTTAAAAAATTTGAGGGAGAGAAAAAAAGAAAGGAGAATATATAAGTTTTTAGGACAGGGAGGATATCAATTTTGTCAACACAAAAATCAACACAAAGGTATTTTTGTCAATGTAGTCACTCTTTTTGAGTGACCGTATAGAACCCAGCTATATTTTTAAAAGGTTAAAACAAAAAAGATGAAGTCCCACTATTAGAGATGTAAGGAGTAAATTGTCGAAGATATTGTGAATGTTTTTCTTTGTTTATAAACTTATAAGCTTTTTTGGCTTATAAGTCATGTTTTTCACTGCTTGTAAGCAAGCTGACTTATAAGCCTAAAAAATAAGTACGGAGTATGTCTTAACTATGTTTTTAAGTTAATTTCTTTAAAATTCTATTTTGACAAGATTATTTACAAAACTATTACTCATCATAACATGTGTAAATTCCTAAATAATGTGTCTGTCAGTGCTAATTAAGCCATTTTATTTCCACGAAAATAATTTAACTTACAAGCAAATCCTTTATATATTATATTTGAGAGTTTAACTCCCAGAATTTTGACATTTGTCATGCTGACGGGAATTTATTTTGACACTTCATAAGCCATGTCATCATATTGGACTTACTCAATATTTCAAACGGGTTGGATAATGATTCATTACTTTGGGCTTCTTTTATTTGGGCTACTCTGTGTGGAATTCATCCGCAAGTCTGAATGAAAGCGAGACAACAGCGGCACTTTCCTTCGATTGCACCTCCCTGCGATATTCATCTTCGAATGGCTCCACCGCGAGATTTCAGAGAATATGTGATTGGAATTAATCTCTTTCCTTCTTCACGGTCCTTCTTTAGGGAGATTCCAACGATCGGTACCAATTAAGAATAGGTAATTTTCCCTTTTTTTAAAAAATCATAATTGTTTTTGGAATGATTGGCCTTCTTTCCTTCTTATGATGATTAGTCTCTGCGAAATTTGTTCTTCTTTCGAATTTTCCGGTTCAAATCTCTGGATTTTCTACCCTTATTGCTGTAAGTTTCCTTCTTGCAATTTATATTAGGTCATATATAAATCAAATTTTAAGTAAGTCATTTTATCAATCTATTTTTTTATTGTAAGCCACGTTCACACCTAAAACATCTGATTAATGAACATGTCTTCCAAAACCGATCCATCCTTTGTTGAAGATCAATCCATCAAGTGAATGCTGGAGAGTTTTGGTTAGTGTGATTCGACTTTACAATGAGTCTGCTGTTCTTAAAGTATAATGAGTCTGTTTTCCTTGAAGCTTCTATTTCAGCACAATAAAAAATAAATTTTTTTTATTAAAGTACTGAAGAGTTGAGCCTGTCCTTATTTTCAGATTTATAGTCTGCTGTTTTTTAACATATTTTATGGTGTGAAGTTTAGTTTTTAGTCTCTTGAAGTTTCTCCAGTTTAAAGTATTGAAAAAACAAAACACATTATAGTATGTTCTGATTCTAAGTATTAAAAAACAAAACATACTATAGTTTGTTTAGTTTTTTTTAGTGCCTATTCATGTTGAAGTTTCTCCAGTGCCTAAAACCATGAGACTAAATTTTTTTAATAGTGCCTAAGAAGGAATTCTTATAATTTATGTAATAATAACTCTGTCGTTCTTAAAGTGTAATAAGTCTGCTGTCCTTGAATCTTCTATTTTCAGAACCATAAAAAACATAATTTTTTATTAAAGTATTGACGACTTGAGTCTGTCCTTATTTTTCAGACCTTAATTTTAGATTTATAGCCTCCTGTTTTTGAACTTATTTTATGGTGTGGAGTTTAATTTTTATAATCTCTTGAAGTTTCTCCAGTCATTAAGTATTGAAAAAACAAATCACACTATAGTCTGTTTACTTTTTATAACTAATACCTGAAATGATAAGAAATATAAATACAAATAATCACCCAAATCAATATCAACACACAATAAGAATTCAAGAGTCATTGATGTGTAGATTAGCGGTCTGCTCTGTGATTTTAAGGCCAACAAATCTCCTATGGATCTCGACCTTTTTGTTCTCCACTTCTCCTCATCATCTCCTCAAGTTGTTTTTTTATATCCTCTTTCTTATCTTTATATAAATAAATGTTTTTTATTAAAGTATTGAAGCTTTTCCATAAATAAACGTTGAAGCTTCTTTTTTTCATCTCAATGAATAAATGATTTATTGATAAAGGTATTGAACACTTCAACCTGTCCTTATTTTCATATTTATAGTCTGCTGTTTTTTATCATGTTTTTTGGTGTTCATTATTTTTTATAGTCCTTGAAGATTCTGCCTAAGACTTCAAGCTTATGAAATCCCCATAACTATTCATGTTTCCTTGATATTTTGTAGGAAACTACTATCCATGCCACTGTAAGAAAAACTCTGGTGGGAACTTTTGAGAAGAAAATAAAGGAAGGATCAGTATATGTATTTGCTTACTTCGGCGTCGACAATAGCAGTGGATATTATCGCACTTCACGATATGACTTTTGCCTAAATTTCCAAGCAAGGACGACTGTCACTGAAACCAAGACTACCTCTAAAGTTCCAGAGAAGACAATTTCCAATAGTCTTATGTTTTGCTATGACTATTAAAAAAAGTCATGGTCAAACATTGTCATTTGTTGGATTATTTTTAACCAAGTCACTGTTCACTCATGGTCAGCTTTATGTTGCTGTTTTGCGAGTGAATACAAAGACAGGATTAAAAATATTAGTCTTAGATGACAATGGAAATCCTTGCAGTCATACAAAAAATGTTGTATACCCTGAAATCTTTCAAAAAATTTGGTATTAAAGCAAACTTTGTTGTGTGTAGATTTAATTCCTCAAATACTCCCTCCGTCCCAAAATATTTACAACATTTGCTTTTTCAGCAGTCGCGGGAACTTTTGTTTATTTCTACGTTTTCATTAGTTATTTGATAGAAAAAAATATTCTTGACACCTCTTGTTTCGAAGAACTTTTCATGTAGTTTTTTGATATGTAAATTTTATTTTTTATTTCTATACCAATATGTAAATAAAATGAATTGAAAAAGCTTGATATTTAATCTCGGGAATACAAGTGTAACAAATATTTAGGGACGGGAGGAGTATTATTCTTTTTACTTTGCCTTTCTTTTCTGTGTTATTATAAATCATACATGAGGTATATTTCCTTTATTCTGGAAAAAAATATTGCATTGAATAAATTCATAATCGACAAAATATTCGTAACCGTGCATTCCACGGGTAGGAATACTAGTTATAGCTTAAAAGGCGTGTTTTCAGCAATAAACAATAGCCATCCAAGGCACAAAAAAACAGCCATGATAATAATGTCATCCCCGTGTATAGGTACCAGCAAATTGGGCCTTTGAACAAACAAGGTATGGAGACATACTTATCACAAAAACATTATAACTCTTTAAATTTTGACAACTCATATGATATTGTTGTTGTTACTAAAAATATTTAGAAATCACGAGAAGTTGCCATAAACAACGTACTCGTATTATAGATATACACCCATTCATATATAATAGACTTGTCACACACGGCACACCCTCCTCACCCTTTGCAACGCTCCTTCCCTAATATTAGTATATGCCCAATTAACTATTTTATTTTAAATTAAACAAGCAACTTTCTACATAATTTTACATACTTTTTTTGAACACTAATTAATAACTCTATTTGAATGTATTGGATTTTTTCCGAGTCACAACCACAAGATTAAGCTTTGCTTAAATTAATTCCTAAACATGATATCAAAGTCTTGTAATTAAAAGGTGTCAGATTCAAAACTTAGTGTCATCCAAATTTTAAAAAAAAAAATTAAATTAAAGTTTTACGTGCAGAGCTTGAATGTACTTTGGCAGAACGTGAGGAAGCGAGTTATAATATAAAAAACATTGTTTGAGCTTTTAATTGAGTTAATTGGTTTCTTGACCGAATATAATATTTTTTTATACGTTCTAAATCTATTAAAGCATGTAGAGTTGCTGCCTTCAGCCTGAACATGTGATGTCTCATAAGAGAGAGTCGTTATACTGCCGAACCACAGGGCTTTGCA